GATTTCCAAAACCCTTTTATCTTAAACTAGGCCTAGCTTAAGGATTATTAGGAGTACTCTGTATACTGGAATATAGTTTAATTAGTTAAACTAGAATTCATTTAAGGGTTACAAATATTAAAATGATTGGCATTAGACTAAGAATAGTTTGAGGATATTGTTGAATGACAAATGAAGAACATACATGTTGAACGATTGAATAATGAATGTTGAAAATTGAATATTGATTAGTGAATATCTGAATGAACATTATGTGCATGATATCAAATGATTTGATTGTGAATTGAGATACAATTTATATGGATGTTCGACGCATTAGATATGCTTACTCAGCTTTACCGCTGAGCGTGTGGTATGTTTTATTTGCTACACGCAGGTTAATAGAAAGAATGATGTGACGTGATCTTGGAGGCGGACGGAGGCGAGATTGTCGGAATGGATGTGATGGTTTTGAATTAAAGAACATAACAAATTATGTTGTAATTATGATTTGGTAAAGCTTCTGCAATATTGAAAACTCCGTACTGTTTATATTATGAAAAATATTATTATGAAAAATAAAAGTGTTTGAAATGTTTTAAATTTTTACGATTACCAAGTTAATACTTTAGTCCGAAAGGGGCTGCAGACCTGGACGGATTAGGGTGTTACAATTAATAAAATCCAGCTTGTATCCATTAAGTCATTCACTGATTTATCAAGTCTGACTGATAGGAACAGACGTCATAAAAGCATCTCAGCATGGCCATGCAATTTCCTCAATCATAACTTATCAGTGGGCCCCATAAGACATTAATCTCTTTTAAAAAGAGTAGTGACAAATCCTATGTACGTAATCTACGTTTCTGAATACGCGCTGTGGCATACCCAAAACAAAGCCTGTATACCATCCTTATTTCATATGGCTTAGGACAATGCATCAAAGTATGCGGGTTCACATATGCAGAAAACGTAATACTTCAAGTCGAAGGATAGTTACACCCGTGGTCGCGCTAAAGATATTTAGAGCATGAACTAAAAGTTCAAGCAACATCTTTAGGATGGGTCAGTCTGGCATCCTATTATCTCTAGATAATATCGATCTGCCCATGTGCGGATGCGAACACACTGTCATTGACTATGAGACTAAGTCAAACATCCAACACACACTAGTCTCACATGCATTAACGATATCCCAATCTCGTTAATACTCAACTATGGACATTCAGATAAATATTTATTTCAAGATGTTAGTCTCATCAGCAGAATAACATTATCTGATAAACATCTTTAAATATAAATCTAGGAATATAATATTTGTTTACATTAGCATGAGATGTGTAAACATATTATATCTGCCTATACGTGATGGGATAACGATGAATAGTTGGCCATCGGGGCACAACTCGAACAATCTCCCACTTGCACTATGGCCAATCTGGCATCGGTCGAATGCCCATGGACCTAGTGTGACCCTCATGCTTTAGCTTTCCTAAAGGCTTGGTCAAGGGATCGGCTATGTTGTCGCCAGTATCTACTTTGCAAATCATCACATCTCCTCTATCTACGATTTCTCGTATGATGTGATAGCATCGTACAATGTGTTTGGTTTTCTGGTGAGATCGCGGTTCCTTTTCCTGTGCAATGGCCCCAGTGTTGTCACAAAACAACGAGATAGGGTCATTAATACTAGGAACCACTCCAAGTTCAGTAATGAACTTTTTGATCCAAATAGCTTCTTTAGCTGCCTCGGCGGCAGCTATGTACTCAGCCTCTGTAGTCGAATCGGCGGTTGTATCCTCCTTAAAGCTCTTCCAAGTAAAAGCTCCGCCATTCATGCAAAACAAATATCCTGCTTGTGATTTTGAATCGTCTCTGTCGGTTTAGAAGCTAGCATCAGTGTAACCGACCACCTTTAGCTCTTCCTCACCACCGTATACCAAGAATGCATCCTTAGTATTGCGAAGATACTTGAGGATGTTCTTGACCGCTGTCCAGTGTGCTTCTCCTGGACTTCCCTGGTATCTGCTGGTCACGCTTAAAGCGAATGAGACATCAGGTCTAGTACATATCATGGCGTACATGATGGATCCAATCGCAGAGGCGTATGGAACCTTCATCATGAGTTCCTTTTGCTCGGGAGTAGAAGGACTCTGGCTCTTGGAAAGAACCGTGCCAG